GCTGTCTTGACTGTATTGCAAAGTGCTTCACAGACCTCAGCCCCAAAAGACTGACTAGCTGTTACAGTACTTACCCAAGTACTTCATTCCTCACTTATGATGCTAAAATTCTTCACAGCCTTAACTGTGAACACTTACTTATTAAAAGGCAAAATGATTTTAGTCAGTATGCCACAGCTATACCATAGCTTAGACAATAAACTAGAAAATAAAATAATTTGAAATCACTTATATTTGTTGTTATTAGTAGGAAATAACATAAATATATATTTAGCATTAACAAAACTATTTTATAAAATAATCTCAAAATTAAATAGTAAATATTTTAATAAAAATATTTTAAATCACTACATAAGTACATTGAATATATACAATTTTCTCAGCAACAATATACATTAAAATAATTCATAATTGATTTTTTTCACATAATAGCTTTAGTCTATGAAACATTATATATATGGGAAATCATCTTTATCTTTCAACCTGTGCTTATAAGCAAGTTGACGATGCTGTTAGCAGCCAAGGGTGAGAAACAAAGTATGTTTTTGAGAAATGGATACACATGATTATATCACATAAATCCTTGGAATCCTGATTGAAAATAAATGTGCTATGTTCTTCAAATTAGTAACTCCGTAGATATGAAGACTCAATTTTTATTTTCCTTCACTTTAAGTAACTGACAGTCTTTATTTTGGAGCAACTTTATCTGTAATTTAATGTAGTTTTTGTTAATTTCCTGTTGTGTTTTGATACTTTTGTTTTATTTAATATCTCTGTAATTAATGTATGATAATATTCAGAGTACATAGAAATCACACTCAAATTTGCTCATGTTAAAATATTTAAACAAAAGAAGGTATCCATATTCCTCCTGGGCATGCTCCAGGGACAGGCCCAGGAAAATTTACCCAGGAGGTCTCTGCACAGGTGGTTGGAGGAGGGAAAGGTAGGATGTTCTACAGAAGTCGGCTGCTGTTATTTATTTGTACTGGTATCGACAACAAGCCCGTCATGATGGACCAGCACCATTCTGGGGCGGCAAAAAACCTAGAGCCGGCCCAGTCCCTGCCTGCCCCAAAGAGCTGACAATTGAGCTGGGTGTTGTGCTCCAGTGCCAGGGAAGCAGATTATGACACCACACTGGCTGCATCTCTGAGTCTGTGCCTGTCCCCTGGCAGCTCCTTTGCGCAGTAGGCATAAGCATGTACCGTGACAGAGCAGGGGGTAAAGGCTCCCCTCACCATGCAAGGGGGCAGAGCCGGGGACTGCTCTGTCTCCATGGGACACCTGGCTCAGAGTCAGGATGGGGACAAGCTGCCGTTGCCTGCCACAGGGGGAAGGAAAAGATCTGGGGATGGGCTGAGCTTTGCTCTTGGCACCCTGATGCCCCCTAGGCTCCACGGAGGGCTGCTGCTAATGCAGGCTGAGGACGCCCGGCTATGGCTCAACCTGCGGCACCCGCTATAGGCAAGCTCCCCGGGCCACTGGCGCTCCGGACGGGAGCGGAGCTCCGCCAGCAGGTGGCGTGGGAGAGCAGCGGCGATTGCGCTGCGGCAGCAAAGCGTCGCTGGGCCCGGACCCCCACCCACCCGTCCGCCACCAAGGAGCCTAAACTTTAGGACGTTTCAGTGAGGGCACCAGTGGACTGCTAGCCCTGCTCCCCCCCCTCAAATCTAGTGACAGCTCCCCCTGCTCTCCCTCTGCCAGGTGCTTCTCCTCTCCATTCCCCGCCTTCCCACGCTTCAGCTACGCGTAGCACAGGGCTGTCTCACTCCCCGGGGCAGATCCCTAAGTGTCCCGTTTGTGTCTGGAGGAGTGAGTTACCGCCTCAGCTGTGTCAGGAGCCCAGCTAGCAGCTGCACTCCGACTGCAGCTCCCCAAGCAGTCGCCCTTTCCTCTCTGCTCCCTCCTCCCCACGGCCTCCAGCCCCCCATCAGCTGCCCTGCTGCGCAGCCTGCCCACTGGCGTCCCACAGCTGCCCACTGCTGCAGGCAGGAAAGCAGGCGCACAGCCTGGAAGACCAGCAGCCGCCAGCGCATAGTAGGCTCTCCCTCAGCCTCCCTAAAGAAATGTGGAGAATAAGGGGGAAAAGCCAAAGAAAGGAAACCAAGGGCTGTGGGCACTAATAGGTGCAAGAAGGGACAGCTGTGTAAAATACGAGGGGTTAATGCAAGGGTGGACAAACTACGGCCTGCCAGTCCATTTGATCTGGCCCTCGAGTTCCAGCTGGGGCATGGGGTCGGGGCTTGCCCTGTTCCTGCACTCCAGCTGCACAGCAGGGTCTGGGGCCACTCTGCCTGTGTGGCCCCGGGGCTCCCGGAAGCAGCAGCATGTCCCCCCACCGCTCCTATGCATAGGGGCAGCCAGGGGAGTCCGCACACTGCCCCCGCCCCAAGCGCCACCCCTGCAGCTCCCACTGGCCAGGAACTGCAGCCAATGGGAGCTGCAGGGGTGGCGTGTGTGGACAGTCAGCACGCAGAGCCACCTGACCACACCTCCTTGTAGGAGCGGAGGGGGTGACATGCCACTGCTTCCAGGAGCTGCTTGAGGTAAGCACCGCCCAAAGCCTGTACCTCTGATCCCCTCCCACACCCCTACCCTGATCCCCCTCCCATACTCTGAACCCCTCAGTCCCAGCTCAGAGCACCCTCCTACACCCCAAACCACTCCTCCCCAGCCTCACTCTAGAGCCTGCCCCCCAGCCAGAGCCCTCAGCCCCTCCTGCCCCCCCAATCCCAATTTTGTGGGCATTCATGGACCATCATACAATTTCCATACCCAGATGTAGGCCTCGGGCCAAAAAGTTTGCCAAGCCCTGGGTTAATGAGATTCTCTCAAAAAGTTATGGAAGGGCAAAAAATAGTGACACAGGTAAAAGTTCATCAATAGAACATTTTATGAGCGCTTTCTTTAAACACAAAGAGGGTATTTTTTTTAAAGGAAGGAATGCAGGAAATTATTTTATTGCCACCTCCACACACGTTTAAACTTTAAGCAACCAGCTATTAAGTTGTAAAAATAAAAATGTCAGAGCAAACTGCTGCTTTAACTGTTTCTTTCAATGCAGCTGTAACCAGGCAGTGGTTACCCATGCCTCCTGAGAGTAGTTGGCCCTCATGCTGAAAAGGTTCAACTGAATGAGATGGGGCCCTAGAATAGGAAGTGTCTGATCAGCCCAATCCCAAACCATAGTGTTATCTCTGGAGCTCAACAACATCAGCTTTTTATTAGAAAAGTAAAAAAGCTCCATAGTGTCCTGTATCTGTGCTGTGGGTATATTGGCCTGGTGATTGTATGAGCATAATGTTGGGGTGGGGGGGGTGTATTGCTCTCCCTCTCCTGACCTTTTGTGGGGGGGGGGGCGGGGAGGCTGGTAAAATTCACTGTTGGGGGCTGCAGCATGGGAGTGCTTGTTGCCCATCAACTGTTGAATCCTTGGGTTCAGTGGAATGCACCCACCTGCCTCTGGGGCAGTGATACACAGACCTTAGTGGTTCAGGAATTAGCAATCAACATTACCAGAAAGAGCCACAGTCTTGTGAATTCATTGTTTCCTTTACTATAGTACTACATATTCTACCACACAGTGTTTTAATATCACATTAAAGATCCACTTGCAGTTCCAGAACCTCAGTTTGAGTAACCCTGCTCTAGGGGCTGTTCTGCCTTGCTGGGCAGCTGAAAGTCCTACCAACCCCAGCAAACCAATCCTGCTAAATCAGAGCAAAGGAGCAAGAGAGGAGACTGAGCCAGCCCCAGGCACTCCTATACCACACCCCACTGCCAAGAGGGAAAGAAGGGGAGCTGGCCCATGCACAGCCCCATGGGTGTGAAAAAAACACAGGAACGGCCCTACTGGGTCAGACCAGAGGTCCATGTAACCCAGTATCCTGTCTTCTGACAGTGGCCACTGCCAGGTGTTCCAGAGGGAATGAACAGAACAGGTAAATCATCAAGTGATCCATCCCCTGCCGCCCATTCCCAGCTTCTGGCAAACAGAGGCTAGTGCCACCATCCCTGCCCATCCTGGTTAATAGCCATTGATGGACCTATCCTTCATGAATTTATCTAGTTCTTTTTTGAACCCTGTTATAGTCCTCACCTTCACAACATCCTATGGCAAAGAGTTCCACAGGTTGACTATGCATTGCGTGAAAAAAATACTTCCTTTTGTTTCTTTTAAACCTGCTGCCTTTTAATTTCATTTGGTGACCCCCAGGGCCAGCTCTAGGCACCAGCAAAGCAAGCACGTGCTTGAGGCGGCACAATTCCAGGGGCGGCATTCCGGCCATCCATCCATCCATCCTTCCTTCCTTCCTTCCTTTCTTGGGCAGTTGCGCTCTCGGAGCTTGGGGCGGCAAAAAACCTAGAGCCAGCCCTGGTGACCCCTAGTTCATCCATGGGTGGGATACAAGACCAGTAGGAGAGGGAAGCTGAAACCTGGGAGAGGAGAGGTGGGAGAACCTCGGAGAGGGCAAGGCACAAAAGGGAACTGGAGGGACATGCGCAGGGTGGGAGTTGCTTTGGCTGAGGGGAGCTCAGGAGAGGGGGACTGGGAGGAGGTGAATTAGGGAGGCAGGGGTATTTAGATGGAAGGCAGAATGGGAGGTGGGGGATATGAAGGGTAGGGCAGAGGGAGGAGTGTGGGGAGGTAGGGATGGGAGAACAAGGGGTAGGCAGTGGGGGAGAACTGAGAGGCTTGGGGCACAGCAAGGGGTGTTTGGGGAAAGGGGCTGGGCTGGAGGGGGAGTGTGAGGAGAGGTGAGAGACCTGAGGGAAAGGAGCAGCGCTGGGGTGTGGGGGGAAGCGGAGGGGTGTGAGGCAGGGAAAACGGAGGGTTTGAGAGGACAGAGAATTTAGGGAATATTTGGGGAGGAGGCGGTGCACAGAGCGGGGAGGGAACATATTGCGGTACTGTGAGGGTCTTTGCGCCCCCCACGTGTGGGCAAAAATCACGTGGCGACTCTCTCATATGTTCTGCATTTGGCGGGGGGGGGACAACTCATTTGCACGGAGCGCTGCCTCAGCTGCTGCTGAGGTGCCACAATCGCGGCAGCTTGTCGGCTCCCAAGCCAGTGAGACGCGAGCCGTAAACCGTAGCCCGTTAGCCTCCTCCGTGGCAGTTGTTGCTCTGCGGGAGCCAGGGTAGGAGGGAGGCGGGTCCGGGAGCCGCTGGGGGGAGCCCCGTTGCTCTGGGCGCTCCGGGGTAGCGGTGCTGCCCGGCACTGCAGAGCCAAGTGAGGAGCAGCGGAGGTGCAGAGCAGGCAGGGGCAGGCGGGGCTCGCCGAGCTCCGCAGCTCCTCGCACGCGCCGCCGCGCGCACAGCTCCGGGGCCGCTGCCGCTGCCTCGCCACAGCGCGAGTCTCGCTGCCCGCTAGCATGAGGAGGAAAAGACCCCTGGAGCACGATTTCTGTTCCAGCTAAAAACCGGACCGGGAGCAACCGACAGGCTGTAACCCCCGCCCCGCGGCTTGCAGAGGAAGGGGAGAAGCTGCCAGCCCAACGGGGGGTCCTTCCTGCTGAGCTCCCTGGGGCTCTCTGCTTGCTACCAGCCGCCGCCGGGGGATAACGGGGGACCTGTATCTCAAGCCCTCCTGTAAGCCGCAGAACCGGGGCTGAGAAGAGAGGGGAGCAGCTCCTGAGGCGCAGCTAGGAAGCTGCCTCCTCCCGGGGATTGGGGCGCCTCGCCTGGTGCTCGCCGATCGCCTCTCCGTCCATGTGCTTGACTTGTGTCCGGCTGGGAGTGGCTGATAGTGAGAGTACGGCCAGAAAGAGACTCCCTTGCTGCATCTTGCTGGGTGGGGGGATTAGGAAGGCTGCCCTTCCCCGTCTTTCTAGGGGTGCACTGAGCCTGGGAAGAGAGACCTTTGTGCCCGGTCCTCGCCAAAGGATAGCGCCGTGGAGGAGGAAGACAGGGAGGAGAGGGGCAAGTATCTGCCCCTCTCATTGCAGGCTTTGCAGCTAGTTTGCTCGGAATACATCTACTTTCCCCCTCTGACATGCAGGTGCAGCAGAGGGAAGTGGAATAAGGGAGATACAGAGCGAGCGAGCTGCACAAAGGTAAAACGGGACTGAATGTCTTTGTGTGGCTCTTGGTTTTAAGGGGGGGGGGGAAGGGAAGGTTCTGCCTGTTAGGGAGCGATTGGAAAGTAAGGGGCTGCAGAAAGAAAAAGAGGAAGCATCTGAAAAAAGGAGGGGAGTGAGGAGAGAAGCAGGAAGGGAAAGAAAAGAGGAGGTAAGGAGAGGAAAGAGGAAGGGAGACGGAAAAATGCAGAAGGGCAGAGAAACAGGGAAGGAAAGAGGCAGGGAGAGAGAGGAGCAGAAAAGTAGAGAGTGAAGGGGAGTGGCAGACCCTCCCCCCTTGTGCTGTGCAAGCCCAGAAGTGCCTCCTTTCTGGTGACTCTGGCTAGCCCCTCCGTATTATGTCTGCACTCCGAAGGAAATTCGGGGACGATTACCAGGTAGTGACCACCTCTTCCAGTGGCTCAGGCTTCCACCAGCAGCAAGCTGCAGCAGCAGCTCCTAGGAGAAAGAGGCAGCGATTTGTGGACAAGAATGGCCGTTGCAATGTGCAGCATGGCAACTTGGGCAGCGAGACAAGCCGCTACCTGTCGGACCTGTTCACCACCCTGGTGGACCTCAAGTGGCGCTGGAACCTCTTTATCTTCATCCTCACGTACACTGTGGCCTGGCTCTTCATGGCCTCCATGTGGTGGCTCATCGCTTACATACGGGGTGATCTGAACAAAGCCCATGATGATAACTACACTCCCTGTGTGGCCAATGTCTACAATTTCCCCTCCGCCTTCCTGTTCTTTATTGAAACTGAGGCTACCATTGGGTATGGCTACCGCTATATCACTGACAAATGCCCCGAGGGCATCATCCTCTTCCTCTTCCAGTCCATCCTGGGCTCTATCGTGGATGCCTTCCTCATTGGCTGCATGTTTATCAAGATGTCACAGCCTAAGAAGCGGGCAGAGACACTGATGTTCAGTGAGCATGCTGTCATCTCCATGCGGGATGGCAAACTTACCCTTATGTTCAGGGTAGGCAACCTTCGCAACAGCCACATGGTCTCCGCGCAGATCCGCTGCAAGCTACTTAAAGTAAGTGCATAGTCCTGTTCTTGCCTTCTCCTTGGCGCTCAAACTTCCTCCTGAACGATTTATCTCTCCCCACAGCTCTTGTGCTGCTGTCTTCTTTGCAGAGCCCATCCAACTCCTCCTTCACTTTCCTCTTCTCTCTAGGACCTTCACACCATCTCTTCCTCCTCCTCTGCAGGATATTAACACCTCCTGCAGATTCCACTGCTTCCCGTTGTCCTCTTGCTGCCTCTTCCTTCATAGAGTACTCACATTTCACCCTCTCCCCAGAATTCTCTCACCTTTTCCTGAACCTTTCCCCAGTCCCTTGAAGCACTCACACCTTCTTCCCCTTTCGCCAACCTCCTTCTCTCCCGACCACTCTGTTCCCCTTCTACTTTCCCACCTCTTCCAGAGAGCATTCAAGATTATTTCTCCACCTTACCACTTCTGACTTCAGTACCTTCCTCCTCTTTTCTCCAGAGCATTCCCTTTAGCACTGTCCTTTTTTCTGCTTCTCCTTCCTTTCTTCTCTTCCTTTACAGGACTCTCAGCCCCATCACCTTCCTCCTGAGCACTCCTTCCCCTTCTTTCTCCAGAGCACTTGCATTCCCACTCTATCCAGAATTCATCTTCATTCATTCCTCCTTCATTTTCAAAGCATTAGATTCCCAAGTCAGAGTTAATTTTTAAACTCCCCTCCATCCAGCTCAGTTTTTTAAATCAACATTTTTCTTTGTTCTTTGTGTGTCAATCTTTGGAGTATCTTACAAGCACAAGAGTATTTTCTACAGTTGGCCTTTAAGTTTTGGTCTCTGCATCCTTTACACTATAATTTGCTGTCAACACATTTCCAGTTTGGTTACTATGTCTATTCAGCACTGTAATGTGTGTGCATTTTATAGACAGAATAGGTAGATTCCTGCCCTTAACATTATGCAGCCTACATTTTGAGCTGTTAAGTAAACAGGATCTATTTTTAAAAAAAAGCAATCTCTATTCAGAATCTCTGGTTATTGTTTTACCTTTTGTTTTGTCAATTTTCTGCTGTATATTTTTTGAATAATATTGAGGGCTAATCACGGAGACCCTTTTTTGCGCAGATAGTTCCTGGGAGGCTGAATCTCAAGATAGTGGGTTTTAAAATTGTATAGATGATTTGTAAGGAAAACTGACCATTTAACTGACATTTTAAATATAACTTAACATCCTTACAAACTTAGATTCAAATCAAATTTGGTCCAAAACCTAAAAACAATTTAAATATTTCTGTAGTGTTCCACAAGAAAAATTCTGTGGTAAACAGTACATATTTTAAAATATCCACCTGAAGTGTTTGCAGCTCAGACATTTCAGTATTTTTATAGGGCTTGATCTAAAACTCATTGAAGTCATTGGAGAGACTCCCACTGTCTTCAGTGGGCTTTGGATGAAGCCCGTAGATCAGGGGTGGCCAACCTGTGGCTCTGCAGAAGTTAATATGTGGCTCCTTGTACAGGCACCGACTCCAGGGCTGGAGCTAGAGGTGCCAACTTTCCAATGTGCCCTGGGGTGCTCACTGCTCAACCCCTGGCTCTGCCACAGGCCCTATTCCCACTCCACTCCTTCCCACCCCCTCCTCTGAGCCTGCCATGACCTCACTCCTCCCCCTCCCTCCCACAGCCTTTTGCACACCACAAAACAGCTGATTGGGAGGTGCTGATTGGTGGGGCTGCAGGTGGGTGGGAGATGCTGGGAGCTGGGGGTGGAGGAGCTGATGCAGGGGCTGCTGATGTATTACTGTGGCTCTTTGGCAATGTACACTGGTAAATTCTGGCTCCTTCTCAGGCTCAGGTTGGCCACCCCTGCCCTACATTATAGTAGTCTGCAAATGAAATTGACTAAAATCTGACTATAAAATACTCATTGTCTAGGAAATGGATATTCACTATTCTAAAATATTGAAAACTAAAAACATTTTTTTAATATTCTCGAGGGTTATTGGTAAGAGAGGTTAAGAGATCCCCACCCCGTGCCAAATTCTGTTCTCAGTTACACCTGTGCAAGCCCTTTAAAATCATGGTTTTAACTAAGGCCCCAGTCCTGCAATTTGAAAAGTGTTGGCAGAATCCCATTGATTTCCAAACAATGAGGCATATATGCCACAGTACGGTTATATGCGGAGGCTGCAACTTTATTAAAACTTTGTAAATTACCTGGAAGGGCTGTTCTAGAGCAGGTTTCAATTGATCATCAATGGCTTCAGCTTGGCAGACGTGAGGGTGGAAGTGAGGGCTATGCCCATTCAGGCCTGCCCAGGAACCCTGGCTGGAAGCCAGGGTGCCAAACTGTTCCCCCTCTTCCATGCAGGAGGTAGAAGAGATGAGGGGACCTCACAGTGTGTGAGACATGAGAGCATACCCTCTTCTTGTGCAATGCTGTGCTTAGGGTCCTTGCTCAAGCAGCCCATTGGGTTACATGGATCTCACCTCGGACCCTTTTGAACCCACCAACCGTACTAGAAACTTTTAAAGTCATGACAGATGTTATTTAAACCCTAAATCTGGACCTCCAGGATGCTGGCTGGAAGGTGAAAAATCCCACACAGAAATTTGACAGTTCTGTCATATGGGGAAAAATCCCTTCCAGAGCCTGAAGAAAACTTGGCAATCAGCTTTCTCCTGGCATCCTAAGAGATCTAGCTCACTAGAGAAGGGGGGGCCTGGAAAAGAGCCCAACATGGCTGCTCCCAAGCACCAAACAGACACAGCCTCCACCTTCTTGCTGCCCGGTAGGGGAGAAGTAATGAGCTGCCCCATCCCCACCCTCCATGTCCAATGGAAGCAGCAGTAGGCAGTACAGGGCCCCTCCCCCATCCCACAGCACAGGGAACGGGGGTGAGAAATGAGAAAGAAGCAGCACCTTCCCCCCTCTCCCATACACATATGCTATGGGGAGGGAGAACCTGGCGAAGTGCAGGAGCTGTGCCGCAGCTGCTCCTGCCTGAGCTCTCTCTCTCCCCCCCCACTTGTGGGGGTGTCCCCATTGCTCCTGGACCCATCAACGATGCACACTGCCTAGCCAGATGATCACCAGTGAAAGTGTCACACTATATGGATTCAGTGGCAGGATTGTGGCATTTAGACCTGAACAAATGTTTCCAAATGAGATTATTCTCTATTTTCAGTAGTATTTGGAGAACCAGGTCCATAGTTATGTACTAATTCGTGGTAAAGTGTAACCTCCAACTATGGTGTTAGCGCACACATTGTCCTCAACTTCAGTCAATTTCTTATATGCATCATAGGATAGAAATGTTTAAAGAAATTATAGAAATTAAGTTGCTTCTTTATTACCCTGCCAGGATAATTTCCATAGATCAAAAATAAAAAGTTACGGAGGTACTCTAACTTCCCCCCTTCGCAGCTATTTTAGATCTTTTTGATAATGAAATCAGACATTAGTTATATATTTTCCGTATCTGGTTAAAGGGGATTGTTTTCTATTATCAGTTGTTTAAATTACTAGAATAAATTATGTGTGAAATAGCCTGGTTGGTGTTCATTTAGTCTTTAGGGGGCACCAAAATAAACCATGGAACTGCTTTACATTATTAGGCTGTACTATCCAGTTAGAGGTTATGCTACTGATTTTAGCCCAACATTATATTTAAATTATATATTTTAAGGAGTTCAACCTTGAGGTACATTTCAATAACAATGCTGCTTTGTGAATTAAAAAGTTCTCCCTTTGTATAATTTTGGCATGCCCCTGCAAAGGATTATAAGAGGTGAAGCTGCTTTTAGAACTTGCCATGATTCCACAAAACTTAGCAAATATTACAGATGTGAGTGCATGACTCTATAATCACTTTTTGTGCTTGGTTTAGAAGAGTGAGCCAGTCCATGAGTGAGATTTATTGTGGAAATTTGTTGAATATAAATATTTCTGTGAAGAAAACTTGTCTTAGTATCAATTTAAATAAAATACCACATGCATTGTAATATGTAGAAATAAAATCACATAAAACCAGGCTACAATTAAAGGCATTATATTAAAAATTATACTGTAGAATGTTCATACATACTGTGCCACACAAACAGTAACAGTATGAGAGTTTGTTCATTATCGTAATTTTGGATGGATTGTGTCCCTGAGCTGACATGCATAGAGGGTGCTCTCCCCACTCACATTTCTCCCTGACTGTGGAAGGATGAGGTGGTTTTGTGGAAATGTGTCCTCAATTTTTCAGATGTTGTGGAGTGCTCTCTGCAAGGATGGGGATGTGTGTGTGGAGTGTCCTAAAGGAGAAGGGTAAGTTAGGGGCCAGAAAATGGCTAGAAGCTATGTACACTGACCCCAACTAACTCTGCAGGGTGTACTCTGAAAAGTTTGTGAATCTCTCTTCACCATGGCTCTTCGAACATGCGCAGGTTCTGGGAGCTGAGCCCAGAGCATGCTGGACAAAAGTTGGCTCCTAGATAGAATTATATGACAAAAAAATTCTGCAGTGAGAGTGATCTCGTAGGAAAAGGAAAACTTCAACGAAGAGTACTGATACGTGTAAATAGTCTTTTTAAAAAGTTTTCTATTCCAGTATAGTATTGGAAGGATATCCCACTATTTCAACATGGAAAACATTTTCCTATGATTTGTGTGACCTATGCTGGATTTTCTTTGTTTGGGGAACACAGGAGATTCATCTTAGAGGTTACTGAAACATTGTTTTATCCCAAGACAAAGTAATAAGATTGGAATCTCAAAGTTATGTCTACAGCTGGTTTAAAAAAAACTTTCTGTTAAGATGCTTATTTGATGGGAAATAGCTTTTTCAACAAATTAGAATTTTTCACAAAAATGTAAGTTGTTGAAATATTTTTGATTTTTGCTGAAAAACCAAAAAACTCAAAAACTAAAAGTTCTGGAAAACATTTGGTTTTGAGGTTTTTGAGGTTTGTTGACAAAACCCCAAAGATTTGGACAAAAGTGAAAACCATGTCATTTCTATTGACTCCTTTCTCTCCCGACCCCCTTTCCTCTGCCAT